AACATTTTCTTCCTACAGGACCCCACAAGGCTATCGCCATCCCATTTCAGCAGGAAGTAACTTGGAGGATGCCACACCCCCTCTCCCCCACTTTTGTCACTTATGATAGTGTATGTACCTAGTTAGGGATAGCTTCCTATTGTTTATGGTTGGGATTGGAAGGAGGTGTTCAGGCTTGGACACCTCTTTCAGATGACTTTAGGGTTTAGTTAAAATAGTTAGGATGTGACATAAGCATATTGTTGTAGCTTATTTCACCTTTATGATTGTTAATTTTGGATACTTTATACTGTTAAGTTTTAATCCTCTTTTAGATTAAAAGGGGAATTGTAGGGCTGCTGTAGCCACACTTTCTCGGGGCTGGCTACTGGTGTGCCTGACCACGCCATGATCAGGGTGATGTAGGGAAGGGTTAAGAGTGAAGAACACTCACGCGGTGGCTCCTGCTTTTTGCTTTCATCTTCGGCTTGCTGTACTTACTGCTGCCCCGCCGGCTGGCTAGGTCACTCTGTAAGTAAGGCTTTTCCCTATTAAATTCCCTTGTATTTTTACCTGGCTCCGTATTGGTAATTTCACACATTAATGTACTCATTTTCATTCAAAGATAGGAATGCTTTTTAAACAAAAACACTGGCCAGAAACGTGGCTCAGCTGGTTAAAGTGCTTGCTTTACAAGCTTGCCAATCGAGTTTAACCTCTGGCAGGAAGGTAAAGGTAGAGATAAGTAATTCCACAAATTGTCCTTTGACTTTGACCTCCTCACCTGCCACATGATACACCCTCTTACCCACTCCCAGCCCGAAATAATAATAAAGAACTGAAAAACAAAACCGCAAGGATTGGATTAGCAGGTAAAGGTGCTTACCAAAAAATCCTGATCATTTTAGTTTGATCATTTAAACCTGTGTGAAAATCTAGATGCTGTGGCCAGCAGTTGTAATTCCAGCACTCCCATGGTGAGGCTGGATGCAAACAAGAAGAGACCCTGCCTCAAAGTCAAACCACAAGAGAACCAGCCCTCAAAAAGTTGTCCTCTGACTTTCCAAAGTGAATCAAGGTATGCTCCTGATTTTAACACACGACACACATTTTTTTAAAAACAACAATGCTTTTGTCTTTCATATATGAAGATTTAATTAAATGAAATTTTATTTAGATCAAATTTTTTAAACCCACACACAAATGTTTGTTAAGATTAGAAAGTGGAGATAGTATGGGTCACACACCATGATTGACACCATAGCTTTATGAAATCATTAGGCTTTGTATATTCAAGCATATATAGTTCATACTGGCTAATACAAAATTGATCCAAATCTAGCAAAGCCTGCAGAATTTAAATAGATTTCCTTGAGTTTTATACCATGGCTCTCAAAAGTCTGAAAGCTTAGATTTGATTTATAACAATGGCAAAAGTTATCTTTATTTCCTGCAAATGTAATCAGCTTTGCAAATAAGGCAAACATCAGTTTACATAGATCTTATAAAAGGCAGGAAGAAAACTGCAATCAACTAATTGTAGAGTTTGTAGACCCAAATTGTTCTGTTCTCTCCATGGTCAGATCAAGTCAAGAAGGCATATTACAGACTAAGTGAATGTGATTTTGTATGCTCCATAGTGGTGCTATTTTGAAAACTGATCGTTCTCGATTAGTACTGAACAGCTACAGCAATTATTTTCAACTATGCTCCAAGGAATACCTTTTACTGAATGAACTTTCAGGAAACCATGGGACAGTACCATTACTTACATTTCACAGGAAAGTTAAGACAAAAGAGGATTTAGCATAGAGTAATCTCTTCAAAATTACAAATTAGAAACACTATCCTGGAGTTAGCTTTGTCCCAAAGCCTTTTCCACTGGATAACCATTACTTTATGTTTTTTTCCCCCTCTTTTCTTTTCTTTTCTTTTTTCTTTTTTGAGACAGGCTCTCACTATGTAGCCCTAGCCTAGAATTAACAAAGATCCACATGCCTCTCTGTCTCCCAAGTGGTGGAACTAAAGGAGTGTGCCATCACACCTGGCTATTTTAAACATTTTGTCTTATAATTAAGTCTATAGGGGCTGGAGAGATGGCTCAGAGGTTAAGAGCACTGACTGCTCTTCCAGAGGTCCTGAGTTCAATTCCCAGCAACCACATGGTGGCTCACAACCATCCCTTGTGAGATCTGGCGCCCTCTTCTGGTGTGCAGATGTACATGGAAGCAGAATGCTGCATGCATAATAAAAAAATAAAATAAAAAATTAAGTCTATAGTCTGTGAAATTTGCCCTGCCAAAATGAAGATATGCTTGGCTACTGGATTCTCATTATAATGAAAAAGTGACAAATACTTTTAATGAGAGAGGGTAAAAGATCACAAAACATCTGTCTCACAGGAAAGAAGTGCTCTATTACATGGATCTATAAAAATGACCCAAACTTCACAGACAGGAAGTTGATAATTTGATTTATCTTAATGGCTTTAGCTCATGAATAAATGATAAAGGCTTATGTGTTTTCTTATAAAAAGATGATGAGTCTTATTTGTACATTTGTTCTATGTTTTAAAGGATTTCTAATTACTAAAACATTCTTTATCCTACTTATAATAAGTCAAAACATTAAGTGAAAGCCATTCTTTGACCACAGTTAGCCATTAGCTGAAAGTCAGCAAAGAATACAGGTTTGTTCACCAAATCAATAAATTTAGCCACAAGCTGACTAAAAGCTTCCTTTAATATTCCTATCAGGTCTCCTTTAAATTAACATATTCTCTCCATATAATTATTTAGGCCAATGACATGGTTATGTGTCATAAAGATCACATGTAACTCTTCATAGAAAAATACTCAACTAAAAAGATGGCCTATTTCAGGGACCATCACACTCTCAAGATGTAGGCTTAACAAAGCCCAGAAGGGTTTGTCCTGGAAAGCCTCAAGAGAAATGGAAAAGTCAAGTCCATTTCCTGACTGTGCAAGATGGTTCCTAAAGCTGTCAGCGTCTGGTCCAGACTAGCTATTAGCAATAAAGTAATTCCCTTCACTGCAAGGCTTTTCCCTGAGGTAATGCCTAAATTTTTAATTTTAATATTTTATCCTGTTTCTTTTAGCTCCATCCGCTCTCACAAATAAACTCTATACATTTCCGACATACTGATTGCATTTCTTTTTGCTTTTGTTTTGAGACGGTCTCACTGGCTGGCCTGGACTCATGATGTAGACCAGGTTGGGTTTCAGCTCTCAGAGACCCACTTGCTAGTCTCCCTGGTGTTGGGATCAAAAATGAGCGCATCAAGTCCTGCACAGGACACTTTTTCAACTGGAATTGACACTATTCAAATGTTTCAAATTTCAACTTGAGTTAACAATATTTCCATTTAATTCAGACTTCTTTGCATACTTCATAAAGCTTATTCATTTTTAGCAATTGAAATCAGTAAGTACATTTGAAACTTTTTCATGAGTTGGGTTTTTGAATATTGATGTGCTTCACAGAAACACAGGGAAAGTAGATAATTTCTCTAAATTCCAATTCCCTAACTTTTTGGTTTCTCTTTCCTTCATAACAAATAGTTCTCTTCTCAAGTCTTTATGTATCTCTTACTTTCCAATTTCTTTTCATTGTAGTAAGTACCAAAGGAAAGACACAAAACATTTCAGAGTGAATGAGTCTCTCCTGTCCTCAGTTAGCACACATTCCAAAGCTACACATAAGGCAGTATTTTGAAAATATTAACAGTTGTTATGCCTTGAAATTGAAAAGAATAAAAAAGCCAGAGAAAATATAAGCAATCAGTCTGAAGTATATTAAAAGCTAGTCAGATCTTGACAGTCATACAAACACTAATTTTGCCACTATAAAAGACATGATTATATTTTACTTTTCTTTATAAAACTACCTTTTAACAGAATATACACAAGCTAGTTATCCCTTAGATAGTTCTGTACTGATAAAAAGTTACTTTTAAAAGAAAAATATTAAAAATAATTGTTTCACAGAAACAGAAGGTTTTATCAAATTCTGATAAAAAGCTGTAATTATGAGTAGAGTCTTACCACACTATAAATGTTGCCACCAAAGATGGAGACTTAGAAATGTCACACTGGTTAGTAAGATGAGCATCTCAGCAACTACAAAAGTGCCGCAGCAAAAATGAGGTAGTCAGAGACTCCACTTTGAGAAGGGTCAGCATCATCTTTTGAGGGTTTGTAGTTATCCCGATGTGTTCACAGCCTGAGCCTAATTACATCTATAAGAGGCACATCTTGAGTGGCTACCTCTCACAGAGATCAAGATAATCTTTAGAACACTAAGAAAAAAAAAATTCTAGAAGAGAATGGTAACAGATTTTATCCATTTTAGTTTTGTAATTGTTGAAAAATTTAAAGCTACTAGTTTGGTTTTTTTTTTTTGGGGGGGGGTCGGTATTGATACAGAGACAGTCTCACTCTATAGCCTAGGTTGTTCCAGAACTCACAGCAGTTCTTTTGCCTCAGTCTCCCAAGTTCTGGGAATACAAGCATGAACTACCATGATCAGTAAAAGCTATTGCTGAAGAATGTTTTCTTTATGTTAACAGCCCCACCCCCCAAGACAGGAAAAAGGCTACTTTAACATATATGCAACAAGAATTAAGGAAAAAAAAATTTTTTTTGAGACAAATTCTCACCACACAGCTCAGCCTGGCTTACACTTGCAGCAGTCTTCATCCCTCTGGTTGTCAAGTGCTGGGATTATAGGTGTGCACCACCATACCAGCAAGAAACATTTGCTCTCATGTGGAAACTTAGGAGTCAATGTTCATTCAATCGAGGGTGAAGCAAGTTTTCTAAAACAGCTGAATAAGCATCAAGAAATCAATTACTAGCCAGGCATGGTGGTGCATGCCTTTAATCCCAGTGCTTGGGAGCCAGAGGCAGGAGGATCTCTGTGAGTTTGAGGACAGAGTGGTATACACTGCAAGCTACAGGTCAGCCATAGCTACACAGAGAGACCCTGTTTCAAACAAACAAACAAACAAACAAACAAACAAACAAACAATCCAACCAACTAAACAACAACAACAAAAAAAAAAAAGGAAAAGAAAGAAAAGCAAGAGAAAGAAACCTGTAATCTTGAAACTCAGGCTTCACGGAGAGATTCTCTTTCTCTCTTGCTCTCTCTCTCTCACACACACACAAACAAATAAATAAGAATTACTACAACATTTAAAAGGGGCAGATAGCCTACCACAAGGAAAACTGGGAAACCTGTATCGGTCAGTCACTGAGGAGAGAAATACGGCACCAATCCACTTGTCTTTCTTACTGGTTACTTCAGGCCAGTGATGGTCCTATAATGCTGTGCTGCCCTTAAGATAGTAAATGTGAAATATTAAATATTATTTTGTCGTCCTGTCCTGTAATGTCATGTCATGAACCTATTGCCATGTCTTCTTTTTTGAAGCCACATAAAATATGTTAGCTTTGAAGACAGAAATAATTATCTAGGTTGTGAAGACCAAAAGCAACATTAAGCTTCCTAAATTTTGAACCATGTGTTTTGCTTGCATCTTAAGTTCAGTTTAAAATAATGAGAAACTATTCAGGATTCTTTGTTACTGGTGGATATGGGAGCTGTTTAGAAATTGTGAATTTTCCCTTGGGAACCAGAGTTCCTAGGAAAGAGCTAAGTAGATGCAACAGTCCATAATTAATATAGAAAAGCTCTAGTTGCCTTAGCAACTGCAAGCTTCTAATACTGCTATTTTATTTGTAAAGCTTCCAGTAAGAAAAGAACACAACTTACATTATGAAACTATTCCCCCCCCCAGGTTGAGGGGCTGCTGCATTTGGGTTTATTGATGATCCTGCCTTACTGCAGAACAAATGTACCTCTAGAACATAACATTCTATTTTTCCACTGGCCATATTAAAAAACAATCAAACTCATTTTAGTTAATATTTAAAATGAAAACACTTTAAATTTCATTTTAAACCATTTTGTTGCCTAACATTTCTAGTAGCGATTAAAAAGTTAATTACATTATCATGGATGGATTATCACACTCATCTTTACCGAAGAATTTTAAAATGAAAATGGAACAATAACTATTCTGCCATACAAGAATACTGATAGTGTAGATTAGCAAAATATTTTACATGTAGCAAAGAGCAGAAGATTATTTAAAAAAAATACAGAATATTCAAATGTATTTGCAATGCCTTGAAATTTCAAATATGCCTGGGCCATATGTAAATTAAGGGGAAAGCATACAACTTACATGGTAAAAACCAAAACCAAACACCTGCTTAAAAATATATAACAAGTGTATCATAAGAAAAATAAATTGATCTGGAATTAAAATTTAGAGCAGTTTTATTTTAGATTCTAACTGCCTTTGTAGAAAAATTCAAAGAGGCACAAGAAAAATAAGATATTAAATGAAAATATGTATGCAAGTCCACATTCTTAACCTTTCTCCATCATTGTTGCTCTGGCACATCAATCCTGAGTAACCTAACTTTTGATTTATAATGGTATTCCTTCAGATACAATTTCATAGGAGAAGGAATTGGAAGGGCATCGATGCCATCGTAAGTTGTACAATTACAAATAACTGTTCTGCAAATATGCTGCAAGGAAAAGGGGAAAGTCCGGATTAATGGAGTGGATAAAAGTGGTTCAAAGAACATACAGGCACTTGGGTCCTTATAATGTTCTAGGAGCCCAGTAATGTCAGGAAAATGGAAGACACATGGATCATGGGCATCAAAGCTAAAGTTGTGATTCCACTGTTCAATTCTGGCGTGAAGAGAACGACTATAGCGTCTAAAACTAACGGAGAATAAATAATCTTCCTGTGCTGAGTCTCGAAGTAAAAAGGTGCCCTCTGGCTTTCCTTCTAGCAGAGCTTCGGCTGCGTACTTATCCATAACACCCCAGTAGCATGGATTGTTACTGATCTGAAGGAGGTCTGGGACAAGGCAGTGCACATAATCAATCTGGGTGTGGTGCTTGGGAGGTGCCTCCAACTGGAGGATTTCATCATCCATTTCCCACCTGGGCTTGTTTCTTTTTCTGGAGCTTGTACACAGTGTTATAATTTCATCCTCTGAATCCATATCACTATCTTCTATGCTGTTATTTGTGACCAAGTTCATCATAGAGCCAGTTATGTGGCCACCTCTACAAGAAGCACTGGTGGTAGTTGTGACACAAGGCTGAACACTGGTATGTGAGAAACAGGGTATGTCTTCTTCCATGCTTCTTCGTTTTAGCTGACTGTCCCTCAATTTACTCTCAGATAAGTCTGTGCTCACCCATTCATCTGATTTTGGACTTACAGGAACAGTATGCCGTTTAATAAAATGCCACCTAAAGGCTAAATCAGATGGAGGTGAGAAAGGGCACTTATCTAGCATGAGTTCACTGATATGAATTTTTCTTTTAGATGGAAGCCCTGAAGAGTGCCGACCACAATTCCTGATAGGAAAACACTGCCCCACAGCATCTTGCAGTTTCTGTTTAAGGGATCGGCCTAGAAATCTATGTCCACAGGAATGGTCTAAGTCCAACTGAATGGACGAGCAGCCATGCTCTCTTTCTTGGCTCCTTCGAGAAGCTTCAGCTTTCTCTCCAGGACCTACAGTTTCAGACTCGGAACAGCTTTCCCTCTTTCTGGACCACGACAACTTCCTTCCACTCCACACATAGCCATCCTTTCTGTCAGCACTTCTACTCCGGCCTGTTTTAGGCCGTACATCTACGTTTTTACTATTGTTTTCGGCCATTTTAGACAAATTATGTACAAATCCCAGTGTTATAAATACTGCATTTTCAGCTTTTCTGACAGGAAGTTTCTTCTGGACACTTTCTGGATGAATCTAAGAAAAAGAAAAAAGGAAGTCATTAGCAATCTGTTTACCTATTGGATTCAAGATGAAAAGCAAAATCAGTTCATGACGGAGCACGGCCCTGCTGTCAGACAACCCCAGGTCTCCTGTGCCCACATTCATGCACTGTTCTTCCATAGTGGTATAATATTACCTCATACCATGGAGGCAAGATAATGGGTTCCTTTCGCACAGCTAAATTTCAGTATGGCTTCTCTCTCAGTCATAATACATACCTGGATAGGAATAATTCCTAGTTTTGCAGTATACCTTATGTCTATTTATTCTTCCTTTTTTTTTCTTTTTTTTGGGGGGGAGGGTTGAGACAGGGTTTCTCTGTAGTTTTGAACCCTGTATGGGAACTAGCTTGGGAGACCAGGCTGGCCTTGAACTTACTGAGATCTGCCTGGAGTGCTGGGATCAAAGGCATGCATCACTACCGCCTGGCCCCTTATTTTTCTTTTATTGGTTTCCTGAGACAGAGTCTTACAATGCAGCCTTGGCCAATCTGGAAATCTCCATGTGGCCCAGGCTGGCCTTTCTCTTGCAACTTTTCTTCTGCCCCCAACTCTATGCTAGAATTATAATCATGTGTCATTGTATCTGACTTTCACTTTATTTTTCTTATTTCACAACAGGCCAGTGAATTCTTTCTAAGAGACAGTTACAAATCTATGAGTTAGTGCTTAGCACTAATACACCGTACTGTTTCTTCTCTTGTTTCTATTTCTATTGATTAAAATATCAACAATTTTAAGTTGTAAAGTTTTCAGAATCTATTAAGTAAATAATTACCACTGAACAATAGGAATGCCAAGTAAATATTCCTAAAAGAGTTTTGCCAATTAATTCCAATAACTAGTTACATGGTTATCAGTCTTCGAAGCTTTTAGAATAGTCTACTCACATAATTAATACTCTTTTTTTTCCCCTCGAGACAGGGTTTCTCTGTGGCTTTGGAGGCTGTCCTGGAACTAGCTCTTGTAGACCAGGCTGGTCTTGAACTCACAGAGATCCACCTGCCTCTGCCTCCCGAGTGCTGGGATTAAAGGTGTGTGCCACCAATACCTACCCGGCCATAATTAATATTCTTATGTTCTTGGTCACTTGGAAACAAGCAGGTAAATTTCTACAGGGCATTCCTTGGCTACACATACTAGAATTGATAATGAATTTATGTAAATATTTCTAAAGCCTATTTTTAGTCATTTTAAATTCTGTGCTTGTGTGCCTGTATGTTTATGTGTCCCATGTGCATGCAGGTGCCTGAGGAAGCTAGAGGGTATCAGGTCCCCTGAAACTGTAGTCAGAGGTGGTTGTGAGCCTCCTGATGTAGGTACTAGGAACCAAACCTAGGTCCTCTGCAAAAAAAAAAAAAAAAAAAACGGTAAATTCCCTTAACTTCTGAGCCATCTCTCCAGACCTACTTAAGTATTTTTAAGTGAAGCAAAATTTAAGCCAGGAATTGAGAAGCAGGGTTGTATAATTCCAAATATTTTGCAAATGAAAGCTGAATTTTGTATCAGAAAAATCAGTCACTAAACACGCTAATTTTTATTAAGTTTCTTAATTTCAGAACATTAAAAACCTCAACAGTCAAGTGATGTGGTTAGAGATTAATACATTTTGAAATAAAATCCTAAATTTACCCAATTTTTCAAGCAATACTATCACTTAGTACTGCCTTTTTCTTCAACAGTATTTTTCCTCCCTCAGAACAAAGGGACATTAAGTTTCCATAGTCAAAGACCCTGCTAAATAATAGTACATCATTCTAAAAACTTAGAATCCTAAAAATAATGAAGATAGTTTAAGGATTCCCTAATGTAAAATCTGAAATGCTTCAAAAATATCAAACTTTTAACATGCCAGCATATTGTCACCAGCAGAAGGTTGTATACCTGACCTTCTGCAGTGGTTGGCTGCAGGTAAAACACAGGCACATTAAAAATAATGTGTAAACATAACCATCAGGTTATGTTTATAAGATATATATAAATCATGAAAGAATATTTTAGAATTGGGATC